ACGTCGCCATTTTGGGTGGCCAAACCCAACGCCGAACGTCGCCATTTCGGGTGGCCAAACTCTCTGTCCAAACTTGAAGCTTGCCATTCCGGTTGGCCAAACCCAACGCCGAACGTCGCCATTTTGGGTGGCCAAACCCAACGCCGAACGCCGCCATCTTGGGTGGCCAAACCCAACGCCGAATGTCGCCATTTTGGGTGGCCAAACCCAACGCCGAACGTCGCCATTTTGGGTGGCCAAACCCAACGCCGAACGCCGCCATTTTGGGTGGCCAAACCCAACGCCGAACGTCGCCATCTTGGGGCGATGAAACTCAACGCCTGCCAACGACCCGAGGGGATTTTTTTTACGGTCCAACAACCCCACCTTAAAAGACAGAACCTCAGCATTGGCAGCAGCGTCCAAAACACGACCGCGGGCGCCCGGGGCTCGGCGTCACCCCCTCATCCGGCGCCCGGAGCCGCGCTCAGCGCATCGGCACGTTGATTTCGGCGCCGCTGGCTTCCTGCACGTTTTCGGCCGTGGTTTTTCCGTGCTGCTCCTTCAGGTGCCTGCGGATGGCGGGTTTGTGAGCGAAGCGCACGTCGCAGTAGGAGCAGCGGTACGGCCTCTCCCCGCTGTGCAGGTTCATGTGGTCGTGCAGGGTGGATTTTTGGGTGAAGCTCTTCCCGCAGACGCCGCAGCCGTGCGATTTGACGCCGCGGTGGACGTTCATGTGCCGGTTCAGGTTGCTGCTGTGGTTGAACTGCTTGCCGCAGCGCGGGCACATGAAGACAAAGTGTTGGGCTCTCATATGGAACACCAATTTCTCCACCCCTTGGAAGCCTTCCCCGCACTTCCCGCAGCGAGCCGGGGCGCAGGACGCCGACGACGCCGGCGCCGGGACGGCAACCGACCACGAGGACGGCCCCGGCGTGGCGCCGCCATCATCCCCGCCTCCTCCTCCTCCTCCTCCTCCTCCCGGCCCGGGGAAGATGAGCACCCCTTCTCCTTCGGCATCTTCTGCCAGGCTGTACCTGGCTTTCACCACGCCGAGCGGAGGCAACCGCGGCGCTTCCTCCACCGCCACCGCCGTCCCCGCCGTCACCACCGCCATCGTCGCCTCCCGACGCCGGCGCCGCGCCGAGCCCGGCTCCACTTTCACAATGCAGACGTCGGGCGCCGCTTCTTCCTCCTCTTCTTCGTCTTCGTCGTCCTCCTCTTGCTTGGGGGCCGGCGGGGGCTCCGGGGGGGGTTGGATGAATCGCGCCAGAGCCCCTCGGCAGCGCTCCACCACGTGCTCCATCTGCAGGTAGCTGGCGGCCGTCAGGTAATTGACCAGATCTCGCCCGGCGAACTCCAAGGCTCCGGTGTAACACGAGAGGAGCAGGTCGGCCAAAACGCGGGCGCTGTGAGCCAAGGAGACGCGCAGCTCGGCCGCCGGGTTGAGCAGGAATTGATCGCGGAGGAAAGGAGAGCAGGCGGCCAGGATGACGCGGTGGCCGCGGAAGCGGAGGCTGCGGGCCACGATGGTGACGTCGCAGAAACGCTCCTCGGCACGCAGGCGGGTCATGCTGCGAAGGGCTGCAGCCTCGTGGCCTGGCAGCTGGAAACGAAGGACCTCGGCGC